TTTTCAAACAATATGTCTTATCAGACAGTTGCTTAAACAATATGAAATTATTTTATATTTCATATAGTTAGAAAATTATAAATGCATAATTTAATTTTATGTATCTCCCAGAATATTGTATAGTGGTATAAAGAAAAATATTCATTTTGGCCCAAATATACCCAAATTCGCATTTAGTTCTACTAGTCTGTAGTCTATTGTATTTGTGAGTTATTTAAACTCCATAAAATGCATATGCTTATTTCAAGAATAGAGTATAATAATATATTTCAAACTCTGTACAACTTCCAACTCATAGTGTTCATTCAACAAGTGGCATTGATATTACAGTTAAGCAAAGATGATTTATATTATACCAATATAAGCAGCAAGTTTGGGAATTTGTTTAACAAAATAAAATATGTGTAAAATATGTATCTATATACATATACAAATATAAAACATAAACATACTGTAGTATGCAACAATCTCACTTGTATGTGTTTATGCAGTAGACATAGAGGTATGTGTGTGCAAATTGGCGTATATGCAGACTTTTACAGCAGCTCTTTATAATAACTGGTCCCAAACTGGAATAAAACTGGTGCTAATGCTGTGGTGTTCTGGGTAAAGCTGTTGCTTGAGCCCTGCATATCAAAAGGGAGCTGGTTTGAGTCATAGCTTCCCCACTTCTGATCCAGCTCCCTGTTAAAGCACCCAGGAAGGCAGTAGAAAATAGGTCAGGTGCTTTGGGCCCTTGCACCAACATGGAAAACCTGCAACAAACTTCTGATTTCTGGCTCCAGGTCCTGGCTCCTGGCTTTGCCCGGACTCAGTATTGTGGAGTGAACCAGTGGATGGAGTGTGTGTGTGTGTGCGTGTGTGTGTCTGCCTGTCTGCCTCTCTTTGAAGCTCTACCTTTCAAATAAATAAATCTTTAAAAACAATTAAATAAAAGCAAAATGTCAGCTAACTGGTAAATAGAATATTGTACATCTACATAATGGATACTCCTCAGCAGTATAAGGAAATGAACTAGTGGTACATATAATAATATAGATGAATCTCCTAAACATTATGTTAGTAAAAGAAGCCAGACTCAAACAGCAAATTCTATATGAATCCTGTTATATGACATTGCAGAAAGTGGCTGCTCTTCCTATCCTGCTCTCTGCTTGTGGCCTGGGAAAGCAGTAGAGAATGGCCCAAACCTTGGGACCCTGTACCCATGTGGGAGACCTGAAAGAAGCTTCTGGCTCCTGGCTTCAAATTGGTTCAGCTCTGGCCATTGTGATCACTGGGGAATGAACCAGCAAATGAAAAGATCTTTCTCTTCTTGTCTCTGTGAATCTGCTTTTCCCATAAAAATCAATAAATGGAGAGAGAGAGAGAAATGAAGGAAAGAAAGAAGGAAGGAGGCAGGGAAGGAAGGAGGGAGGAGAGGAAGGAAGAAAGAAAATAAGGAAGAATGGAAGGAAGGAAGGAAGGATGGGAGGAAAGAAGGCAATGTTAAGGATAGAGAGGGAGAGATTTACAGAGAGAGAGATTTTCCATTTACTAGTTCACTCCCCAAATGGCCATAATAACCTGGGGCCAGGCCAAAGCCAACAGGCGGAAGCTTCATCTTCCAGGTCTGAGGGTGGCAGCGGGGAGTTGGGTGGCCAGTATTTGGGTCATCTTTCACTACTTTCTCTCAGGTGTATTAACAGGGAGTTAGATCAGAAGCAGAGAGCTAGGACTTGAACCAGTGCCTATATGGGATGCCCGTCACCAGCAGTAGCTTTGCCGTAACACTGGTCCCTGTAGTTTATGTCTAGCACTGTACCAAAGGAAATATTTGGATGGTTCTTTGGGGTTTTGTTGTTGTTACATTACTCAAACTAGAAGTATAGAAGGGTGTTACTGAACTTGCAAAGCACATTCTGATTATGGCAGGAGCTTGTGTTATTTTTAGTAGCTTATTGAATACTGATTTGATTCTGTTATTTCACATGGGCTATAAATACAGAGTTCTTCAGAGAGTTCAAATCAAACTACCCTGATTATTCTGGTCGCCTTTTTACTCCTATAAAGGATATATCTACCCAGAAGATCCAGAAGGACATGTCAGCTGGTATGTAGGGATTCAGGAGTATAATTCTCTCGTTCTGGAGCTGATGGGATGGTGTACCCTTGCTGGATAGCCCAACTCTGATAACTTGGCTATTCAGAGATGATCATCTTTGGCACAAGGGCTGACAGGACTGTTGCATAACATAAGGATTTTCCCAAACAAAACAAACAAAAAATTATGCTGACCAGATAGGTTTTATCTGATAAAACAGGAGTTGTTAAAGTTAGGAAACTTATAATAACTTTAAACATCGGGCGTAGGTCCTAGCAAAAAAAAAAAAAAAAAAAAAAAACTTAGTGAAAAGAAATTAAAGTAATACTAATTGTTCATAGCCAAATAAGTATAGGAGGCAAACTGAACTACCCAGTGCTACCTGCAGCATGGGTATCCAGAAAAGGCTTCACCGTTCCACTCTCATGGAAATTTCTAGACAAAATATCCATGTCGTTATCTTCCTACAAAGACTTTTGTTGTTGTAAAAGCTTTATTAATATAAAATGTTCTTTTTCTCTTATAACCCTTGGTTTTATTTTTTGGTTTGGGGGATTTGTTTTGTTTTATTTTATGATTGTGTATTTGTTTGAAAGAATGACACAGAGAGAAAGAGACAGGCAGAGAGCTCCCATTCCTGTTCACTCCCTAAATGACTGCAAAACCTGTTGCCAAGCCAGGCAAGGCCAAAACCAAAACTCCATCCAGGTTTCCTGCATGGGTGGCAGACGCCCAAGCACTCGGGCTGTAATCCCCTGCTTTCCTAGCTCGTTAGCAGGGATTGGAAGCGTAACAGGCAAGACTTGAACTCTGATATGAAATGCCAGCATCACAAATGGTGGTTTAATCCACTCTGCCGCAGTGTGGCACTCAAGAACTCAGTTTAGTGTTTGTGTTCTATTTTGTTCTTTTAAAGAGCTTCTGGGCTTAAGGAAAAAAAAAAACTGCAAAATAATCATCTGAAGTATTTGCCTTTGGTATGTTTATTGCCTGACAATATTTGATATTCTTTGAAAAACACGTACCACATGTCCTTTTTGATTTGGATCTTTGTCTTGCCATTCATCACTGTGCTTGCCTGTGCCTCTAAGCTGCCATTTCTGCTGTCTTGTGGTACACTGAAAATTGGCAAGGCTGTAAAAGATGTCAAAAGCCAACTACTTATTTTTATGCTAACTGCATTTTTCTAATTTTTGAGACTATGTCACTTACAGTTGGAAAATGTAGCATGTTAAAGCAAGTTTGCAAATATTTTAAATTTAACCTTACAGTAACTGAGAATTTGCTGGCCTACATTGAGAGTAATTTAATATATTAGTGCCTAAACTGATATGCAAAGATCCAGCTATTGCATGTTTTAACAATTCTCCATTATTAAAGATAGAAAGGTAGTATTGCTTATGTTAATTGTATTGCATAAATTAATATTTCTGTAATTAAGTTTTCACAGTATGTCTTCTGACTCTGTTTACCTACATGAAAATAATTCAGATGAAATCAATGCACTCAGCAAAATTCTGAAACTCTGGCTCTAGTGTTTCAATTACTTTTTAATAATTGACATTGGTTTTGTTTGTAATGTTTGTAAGAGCCATGTGCTTGGTGTTATATATCAGCATCATTTAGAGTGAAAAGCAGCCCACTCCGTGGGTTTGTGGTGGTGGATGCTGGCCCGGGAGGTTCTGCCCATGTGTGGCATCATCTCCCGTGAACACCCATGGGAGGTCACGCCTGATCTCTACTCTTACCACGATCCTGAAAAGATTGAAAAAGAGGAGCAGGCTGTGGTTGAAAAGGCTGTGACCAAGGAGTTGTTCCAGGGTGAATGGACCGCCCTATTGCTGAGTTCACAGCTATTCAGCCCGAGGTTGCAGAGTGGTCTGAGGGTGTGCAGGTGGCCTTCTGTGCCCATCCAGCAGTTCCCCACTGAAGACTGGAGAGCCCCGCCTAATACTTAAGACTAGTCTGCAGCCCCCACGGCTCAGGCCACTGAATGGGTAGGAACAACCACCGAGTGCTCTTAAGTGATCTGGGGTCTTTGAAGCAGATGTGGAGTGAAGTTGACAGAAAATAAACACCAGTTTCTAATAAATAAACAAAGTGAAAAGCAGCCCTTTGTGAAATCAAACTTTGAGTAAAAAACACTGAAAACCATGTTACCATTGTCATATTTTAAGTTTTGTGAGAACTATGTTGATGCTTAAAATCCTATGGGAAAGAGAGTAGGAATGTGTAAATTCTTTTTAAATTACTGTTTGAAACCTTATCAAAAATACTGCCAATACTTTAAAACTCAAATATTATAGGGAATGAGGAGTAATGATGTTTCCCGGATGAAATTCTCATGCATTCGGGCGAACTGCTCTTCTGCTTTAAGGACTTATTTTCCCCTGTAGCCAAGAAATCAAAAGGTTAAATTATATCAGTAAGAATCAGGCTGTCGTCTCATGTATTTCTTTTCATGTCGAATATCAAAGATGGCTTGACAACATATTTAGAATTTTCTGAGTTTTACTATTAATAAAGTTAAAAGAAAATCTGGTGTGATTAGACTGTGGAGCCACATTAAATTTGTATATGAAACACCCATTGTACTTATCTCTACCCTAGATATTGCTCTGAACCTGTGTTCCGCATTCTGAATTCTATGTGTAAGGTTAAACATTGCAGAAGGGCCTATATCTGATGATGCAGATAAGGAAGGTTGAAGTTTAGTGATCAGCAAAGCCAGTAAATTTAATATTTTCATGTCTTTTGTTATTAACATTTTTAGATTTTTGTGTGAAAATTTGAGACATCGTTGAAAAAGCTGGTAGATTTTTAACTAAAACATGTCACACTCCAATTCATCCTGTAGTGCTGTATGTTAAAATATCAAAATTAATACCAGATTTCCTAAAATATTATTTACTTGCAGGCGAAATTGTTATCTATGCAACAAGCCAGGGAAATGGCAGTTCAACAGTATGAACAACTTGAAGAGGAAATCCAAACACTTCGAGTTTACTACAGGTAAAAATCTTTTTGGGCTGAGCTTAAGTAAATATTTTTAGTTGAAGAAATATATCTGAGTTTACAGTATAAGTGATGAAATACTCCCCGGAAGTTGAATATTGTATATTTTAAAAATTTGGCAGTTTTAAGATAATTCTGGCCTAGATTTTCATTATTCTTCCTTTCCTCCTTCCCACATTTGTTGAAGTTTAAATATACATTCCCATCAGAATTGTAAAATGCATGAAACTCTTACGATTTAGCTGAACCCTCATTCGTTTGGCACTGATTGTCCATCTAAATGCCTGAAATGCTCTGAAATGATGACATAGTAAAAATAGTAAGTAGCAGAATAACAGCATTTGGCCTATTATATAATATGGAACTTTCTAAAGGAATTTTTTAATAGTCTTACTTCATTTACATGTCAGGAATAGTTGTGAAATGGGCATTTTATTTTTAATGAAAAGAAATTGAATTGAGAATATCAGCAGGTATCTCCTTAAAGTAAAAACTGTTTTGTAATACTTTTGCTTTATGCTTCAGTTGAATATGTGACAGGCCGGTAAGATTATGTGTTGAGGAGTTATGTAACATATGTAATCTCATAGTTCATTATGATAAAAAAAGAAAAGGTGAAAGCATTCACTAACATACATCTCTTCCTGAAGAATAAACCCTGTTACTACTAGTTATTTTTTTTTAAGATTTTATATTTATCAGAAAGTCAGATATACAGAGAGAAGGAGAGACAGAGAGGAAGATCTTCCATCTATTGATTCACGCCCTAAGTGGCCACAACAGACAGGGCTGAGCCAATCCGAAGCTAGCAGCCAGGAGCGTCTTCCTGGTCTCCCACACATGTGCAAGGATACAAGGCTTTGGGCTGTCCACTGCTTTCCCGGGCCACAAGCAAGGAGCTGGATGGGAAGCGGGGCCGCTGGGATTAGAACTGGCACCCATAAGGGATCCTGGGGCATGCAAGGCAAGTACTTCAGCTACTAAGCTACCTTGCTGAGCCTGTTACTACTAGTTATTAAGGCTTGTTCACTTTGCATAATTACAGATTTTATTGACTTATTAAAACTGTAAAGCTGAAATATTTTAAAGCCTTTTTTTAAAAATTTATGTGAATCTAGTTGTTTTATGATCTCTTCTAAATTCGGAGCTAGCAAGTAATACCTCAGATTTATAATTCATGAGTACCCTTCTCATTGCTTCTTACATGTGGTACTGTAAAGTTCCTGGGACAGTTGACAATCATATATTTTTTTAACCTTGTAGAAATAAGCCTTTTATAGCCCATTGCCTTTCCTAAAAAAAGAAATTAATACTTCCTACTTCATGGAGTAGCATTAAATAATATAATTCCCTGTATTATAGCAGCGTAGTGGAGAATGACATGTCCAGATGTGGAGACAGTGCAGTATGCATCTCTGCAACCAGATGAAAGATGGGCTCCTGGTGAAAACTGTTGAATATATCCTAGGATGCTGGACTCTGACATTGTCCATGCCTATAATGCCAGGAAGCACTTCTATAGCAGAATGACATACTTATGACTGTAACGCCAGAGGGGAAATCAGTGGGCGTGAGATATCAGGAGGGGGTTGGGAAAATCCCAGAGCCTAAAGAACTGTATCATAAAATAATAACAACTTAATAATAGTAACATGATCATCCCCACTCCCAACTTAGCACAGGTTTTGACTTATTGAGATGAATTTTTTTTAAATGAATTCAATGTGATCAGAGTAGATTTAAAGCGTTACATCCAGGCTGGTGTTGTGGCGCAGCAAGTTAAGCTGCCACTTGTGCTAACATTCCTTATCAGAGTCCTGTCTGCTTGACTTACAATTCAGTTGCCTGCTGATGTGCCTGGGAACACCAGTCGCTGGGAGAGGGGGTCAGGGTGTAGGGTGAAGGCAGAGTAAGATAGAGTCGCCTGACCCTGACCTGACCTTTGGAGTCATTTGGGGAGTGTATTAATAGGTAAATCTCCTTTTTCCCCTCCTTTCCTCCCTCCCTCTCCTTTCCTCATTCCCTCTCTCTTTTTCTCCCTCTCTTTCTTCCCCTTTTTCTCCCTTCCTTTTTCCTCCTTTCTTCTCTCTCAAATAAATAAACTATTTTTTAAAAAAAGATAATGCCACTGAACACAAGGATGGAAATTTCTTTTAAAAAAAACACTTAAGTGTTAATAAAAGGATAAGTAATATAAGGATTGATTTATCCTTTGTGCTTGAAATTAGGAAGTCAGTAGTGAATTCTGTTAGAGTATTTTCAATAGTGTATTCAAGGGAGAAGCCAGTTTTCTGTGAAGTAAACAGCAATTGAGAGGCAAAAAACTTTGAAAATCAAATAGTCTATAAAGAAATAGATATAAAATGATGGTAAAAGTGGTTGAAGAGAAGGTATGTTAACAAATTTTGTTTTTAAACATTTACAGATGCTTGGCTATGTTTAAGATTATTTGGTAGGGTTCGACTGGTAGCCTAGAAGCTGAAGTTCTTGCATGCACCAGGATCCTATGTGGGCTCTGGTCCATGTCCCAGCAGCCTCTCTTCCCTTCCAGCTACCTACTTGTGGCCTAGGAAAGAAGCCCAGTACAGCCCAAAGCTTTGAGACTCTGCACCCACATGGAAAGACCCGGAAGAATTCCTCACTCTTGGCTTTAGATTAGCTGAGCTCCGGCCATTGCAGCCACTTGGAAAATGAATCATCACGTGGAAGATCTTCCTCTCTTTCTCTCCTCCTCTCTATATATCTGACTTTCGAATAATAATAATTTAAGAAAAGGTTATCTGGTATAAATAAACAGAAGGAATTGCTTTTGAATAGGATTCCAGAAGGCAGAAAGAGATGGAATTCAGAGTGTGTACTCAAGAGTTGATGCAGGTCAGGAGGATGGACAGATTGTGATCGTAGATGAGAATGAAGAAGATAACAATACTTCTGAGGGTAAATATATTTGAGGCTACAGTTAGTTTCATATTTTTATGTTAAGTAGAGGTCACTGTGAGGTAAATATGATAGGATATGAAACAAAGAAATTAGGTAGTTTACAGTAACTGCTGAAAGAAATGATAGCAAGAACTAATGACAAGGGAAAGATTAAAAGTCATGTACTTCTGAGAACTCAGTTGGGAATGGCTGCCATAATTTCACTGAGCTTCTAGTTGCACAATTATATTATTTAACACATTGAGCTGTGTTTATATAGCAGCACAGAACTCAAAGAATATAAATCATTCCTTGTTACAGATTTGTAGAGTAAATTGATGGATTCTAGCAAAGAATCATTGAAATGATGAATGGTAGTCTAAGCTGAATAGGGTGTTTTTAAAGTTGAATAGATAAGCTCATAGGAAAAATAACTATGAAACTACAAATCTTGAGATCATGTAGTGGAAATAAGAAAATTCAAGAGCTAAAATGATAGCAGTTTACAGTCAGGAAAATAAAATGTTACTATTTAAGAGCTCATATTAAAGCACTCAATTCTGAACAATGAGGCTGTTTTAGATATTGACTCAGAATTGGGTGGTTGAAATGAGAAGAGGCAAAGCATAATACAAATAATTCAAAGCTATGGTGCTTAAATATTAAATATCCATTCAAATATTGTCCCTAAAATATTGAGTATCTTGGTGTCCTCACTATGATGCTATAATAGGAAATTACCTAAAAATAAAAGATGCACGTAGAAAAGAAGAGTATACCAAAAAATAAAAAGGTCTACAACATGTGATGAATAGAAGAATATGAGACATGTACTCAGGAAAAATATAAGGCGAATCTATGCTCTGATATATCTATGTCTATCAAAACAAAAAGTACCAAGAGCTTTTAGGCAGTGCTGATGGGAATGTAAAATAATGTAGCTACTGTACCAAGCACCCTGATGGTTCCTCAATTGCAAATATGGAATAACCGTTAAGATGCCACAGTTTCATTCCTTGGTAAATACTGAAAAGATTTGAGAACAAGGGTTCAGACACTTGCACACTAATTTTCTTTTTTTTTTTCACTGTTTTTATTACTCTTTATTTGTTTTTAATAATTTTTTTTATTTTGTCAATCTTTACATAGTTAATTTGGGCAAAAAGGGTCAAGGGCTACAGGAAAGTGGATAAGACTATTATTTCCATACTGTTTCCTTCATATATCTGAGGTAGAGGGGGATATTGAGGGAGAAGCCCCACCCGGTTTCCCACCCACCCCAAGTCCCGCATATGGGACATGCTCCGAGATACTCGTTGAAGTGGTTTCAATAGGTCACCAGTTTTGAAATTGCTGCCAATCTTGCCTCTCCAAACACAATGAGGTTGTTGAAAAATCCATTAATTGACATTGTCCATCATAGCGTCTCTATTTGCCCGGTATTTTGTTGCCCACCTATAGCTGAGGTGGTTGATTAACTTGTTCCATCTTCTGTCCCTTCATGGTTTGGGTTCTGAGTCTGGCATTTCAATTGGGGAGATCACTAAAGAAACTTCGTCTGAGGTGTTCCCAGGCCAGATACTTGTATGCACCAGCAAGCACAGGGCCCAGCACCCGGTCAGCTGGTAATTTCAATTGCTGGGTTGGTTCCGTTTTCAGCCCCGCCTTCTACTGGAACCAATGGGTGTTGCAGTCCAGCCTGGTTCTGCACAGCACATACTCGGTCTTCACCGAAACCAGTGGGAGCTGCATCCTGATGAGAGCGGCCCACAATAACCCCCACCAGGCCCACCCCCTACCCTGGTTTGCCAATATCACACTAATTTTCTTAATTGAATTCACAATAGCCAAAAAGTTGGCACTACTGGGGTGCCCATCAACAAATGAATGAATGTACAAAGTGTGACTAAAATACAATGGAATATTATTCAGCCTCATAAATGAATGACTTGCTAATACGTGCTGCACTACAGATGAACCTTAAAAACATGTTAAGTGCAATAAGACAAAAATGACAAATATCATATTGTTCCATTTATGATGTACCTAAAATAGGCAAATTCATAGGGATGTAAAGT